CCGCTCCTGGTATCATCCTCATCATCATAGTCGTCGTATCCTCTTCCGTCTCCTCCTTTCCAACCGCCTTGTCTACAATCTTGGGCTTCGTCCATGTTATTACGGGGATTCGTGATTTAAATAATTGCCTAGTTGATCTGTGACACTTTCGGGTGTGTCGACTGTCTGAAAAGTAAACCGACAGGATAAAATAGGGTGAGGTTTGGTCCTGTAGCCCCACTTGATCGATGTCATATGGTTAGCTCCCTAAAACGATTTTAGTAGGTGTAATCACGCTGACTTTACGTATATCACATGTTTGCGCCTTCCTTACTGTTTTTATTTAGCGAGTGACTCTTTCTTGGGGGGCGGGGAGGATAGTGGGGGAGAGTGCTTATACGCCAGTCTCCGTTACATCGGGTGTCAGTCCACACGCGCTTCCCTGAGCATGTTTAAAGTCCTGCTTGCGCCCTCTTTAGCATGGCGACCCAGAGCGTGGCTAGGCGGGCTTGCTAATAGCACTGTTCAGACGGACTGGAACCCCGTCGTTCCCACTATAGTGGTCATGTGCTGTGAATTAACTTGCGATTCCTCCCGCGCCATTCCAGTTGTGATTGCACCCTGGGCGTCCTCTTAATCCAGCGAGTGGCTTCGTCGCGGACAGCAGTCAGACACAAATGACAGGCTTTACATTTAAAGATTCAATCCGGTTCTCCAGAAACAGAATCAATCTAAGCAGCAGGCCATTGAAACCGCACTGAAAGACGATTGCAGTCCGCACACTTGTTCCGACTGATTTATTCGGCAGCATTATGGATCTCCTGTAGGGCTACGCAATCGCATAGTCCATGCAATTATTGGAGGTCGCGGAAGGCATGACGTGGCTTAAAAATGTCATTAAAAAACTGCATGAAATTTATGCGCTGAGAATAATCAACAGATGGAAATCTCCTTTCTGCCGCGTTTCAAGCACTTAAACCTATCACATGTCGAGCTGAAACGACGTGCCTCGCTTCCCTAAAGAAGTACCAAAGTGATAATAATCTCAACAGTGGCATCAGACTTGCATGGCTTTGCCAATTAGTCGTTGATTAATATGGAGAGGAGCTATGAAACCAGTTGATTATTCTCAGGGGTATAAATCAAGATAGTATACACAGCCCACTGTGTTATAGGCAATTGTCGTCTCGAACTGCTTCAGCGCGTAATAACACACTGCAGCACAAGAACTGACGGGAACTTAGAATTGATACAGCTCTCGGATGCCTTCAGAGATGACGGGCAACGACGGCTGTCCACCGATGCTAGTGCATGGGGAATTGTGAATGACCACGTTGGCACTAGTCCAAGGTTTAGATGATAGTCCACCAAATAGGGTGGATTTTTGAGGCAGTGCCTCTCAACTGCTCAAAGCTCTTCGGGTGATGATGATGACGATGATGATGATGGTGGTGGTGGTGGTGA